CGACCCTTGCCGGCCAGCAACTGCGAACGCAGTCGGACACCTCCAGGTCCTGGAAGCCGGACTCTGCCGTGCTGTGCGCCCCAGCGCTTTTAGTGAGCACTTAGCACGTGCCGCACGCCTCTTTTCGCCTGCGCTACGGAGGCCTCGGGGTCGAGCGGCTGGGAGCTGCAGCGCTCCCCTCCTCTGGGCCGGTTCCACCTCCACAGCCCGGACTGCTCCCTCAGGCCAGCTCTTTGTGAGCCGTGTCTCGTGAGCAACACCAGCTAGGAGAGCGTCGCCGTGAAACTCTTCATCGCAAAGAGTTCAATGACGAGGCTAACAACATGAAAACAAACTGAGAAGCAATGAAGAGGCGAGTGTGAATGTGGCTGGGCCGTGGTCACACATCCATGTGGCCCAACTGCACGCTTGCCACGAGGCTGCAGCAGGAAGCGCCGGAAAGACGCCCTCCTCGCCCCGCAGGGAGGACAGGGGCAGAGCGCTTCGTGGGTCAGGTCCCAGCTGGAACCTGAGTTCCCTGGTAGGAGACATACGCACTGCGCATCACGAAGAGCTGCCAATGCTCCAGCACCCCCCCTTTTTTTTGGCACCCACCCCACCTGGATCCACCCGCAACACAGTTTTTTAACAGCAAATAAAGGTATGTTTTATATGGGGAGTCTCTGAGTCAAAACTAATCCTAATCACTGAAGGAGTGAAGTGCAAATGCAACGCTGGCATGTTCCCTAGGAAAGCTCAACGCCATTGTCTGAAGAGGCCCAGGTGGCCGGGCAACCCCTCTGCTTGTGGGGGGCACCTGTCAACACCTACACTAGCAGCTGTGACAAGGAGAGGCTGGTGACTTCTCTTTCCAGAAATTTTCTCAAGGGAACAAATATCCATTAGTGGAGGTCCCTCCTCATTCAAGGGCCTTAGAATATGAAAAGAATGACTTAAAAAACAAAATTTAACCCAGTGCAGTAGCCCATGCCTGTAATCCCCAATACCTGGAGGCTGAGGTAGGGGAACTGGAAGTTTG